GTTAGAATGAGCAATGGCTAACAGCCAATCAGAATCTATTATATATAATCGCGCAATTTGCGGGGGGTCCAGAACAAGCTTTCTGGCGATGTTTCGCAGACGGTTATTTACGTGAGACTTGCCTTCTGGCTCGCAGCAATAATATAAATGAGCGGTAAAAGAAGATTTCTAAGGATCCGCATTTTTTGTGATTCGGATATTTATTAGTATTGATACAGCAACTCAGTCGGTAGTATTCCCTGCTTCAGTCGCGTGGGTTAGTAGCAAGATACAGTCAATTCAAAAAACGTTGTCGTCGACAGGCTCAAGCCTACGCGACTGGACCGAAAGGAATATGGGTAAAAATCACTGAAGCGGTTAAATATTCGTTCTGAATTAATTGTTGCCGCTAGTAACAAGATAATAATGGCCAGAAACAATCCATCAAGTGCATGTCTTTGGGTTTAGGGAAAAAACAAAGTAGTTATGATTTAGTTCACAGTTTCGAAAATATGAAGGCATTAAGAAAAAGTCTCCTTCAACACTTTCCGCTCGCCTACGAAGGTTCCTGCTGTAAACCAGGCATAACTAGTCAGATAAAATTATGGAGTCAACTCGGCTTCAATGATTGCTACCCAGAGTTCCTTTCGGTCGAGTCGCGTAGGCTTGAGCTGGTCGACGACAACATTTTTTGAATTGACTGTATATACATGAATTTCGTTAACTACGCCGTTTGAAGCTGATAACATTGGCTGTAAATGAAAGACTTTTCACTGAGTTTTGAATCGTTTTACTAACCGAATCTTATTCCACTTTAATGGTTTGGATATTAGAAACACTTTAAGTGTASATAACAAGGATAAAAAGGTATTTTTAACTCTTATTTGATTCAGACGAGCTGAAAGTAATAGGTCGGGAATTCCAAACCCGGTCCAAACAAACCAATCAGTTTTACACGGTTATTTCAAGAATGTGATCAATAATGGAGAGATCGAGAATTTCAAAAAGCTAGCGAAAATCAAATGAAGAATTGAATACATTTATAAGCAAATTTATGTCGCTTATTTGGCCATGTACAGTTCCTGAAATAAAGATWTTTTTTTTCGTCAAACACGAAGGAGTCTTAGTAGGTCAAGATTCAGTTTTGTAGGTCAAGATGGAGAGTATATTTTAACTTAGTGACGTCAGTAACGCAATGCTGTTTTCTCCAGCTACTGAAACCGCATCTGTATTTATACAGTACTACAATTAAGGGGAAGCACCGCATTACAAGCTAAATAAGTGTTCCGAAGTCCTGAAATACACATAGAATAGGAGTAGCACAGAGAGGACAGTGGAAACGACTTGATAAGCTCTAGTTACCCGCACAACCCAGTGCACGCTTCAAGAGCGTCTTGTTTGTTTGTTTGTTTATATTTTTACTGCATGGTTATCACTTTGGACGGGGGATATGGTCTGATATTTGTCCTGTGAACATGTACATATGAATATGATATGTAGATAATGACGATATAAGTCAGTGGCGGATCCAGGATTTTTCAAAGGGGGGTTCCGTTTCTTAAACTGTGTATAATTCTCTTTTGTTTAGTCGATGTCTGACCAATAAATTGGCTCTAATCACCTAATTTACTATCTATTAACGGAACTTAAAGGTAAATTAAACATAACAGCAAATATTTATCATTTCGTGTTCAACATTATCCTTGTGGATACTTTTAAGCAAAATTTATACAGTCAATTCAAAAAACGTTGTCGTCGACCGGCTCAAACCTACGCGACTAGACCGAAAGGAATATGGGTAAAAACCACTGAAGCGGTTAAATATTCGTTCTGAATTAATTGTTCCCGCTAGTAATAAGATAATAATGGCGAGAAACAATCCATCAAATGCATGTCTTTGGGTTWAGGGAAAGGAAAACAAAGTAGTTATGATTCAGTTCACAATTTCGAAAATATGAAGGCATTAAAAAAAGCCTAAGAAGGTTTGTGCTGTAAACCAGGCATAACTAGTCAGATAAAATTATGGAGTCAACTCGGCTTCAATGATTGCTACCCAGAGTTCCTTTCGGTCCAGTCGCGTAGGCCTGACCTGGTCGACGACAACATTTTTTGAATTGACTGTATAAGACATATTTCTATTACCTAAAAGATCAAACCTTCAAGGGGGGTTCCGTGGAACCCTTCGAACCCCCCACCCTGGATCCACCACTGTAAGTGAAAAAAGTCCATATGCAAATTAGTCAAAACGTCTTCTTGCTATGGCTTAACTATGTAAATTTAACTTTCAAACATGCCTGACAAATGGACTTAATAAAATGGCAACACTTAGTTTATCAATACAGTATCTTGGTCTTACAAGACTATACTCGTACAATTTTGTTTGTATACTCGTAGAAAACGAACATTTAAATTCTTAGAAAATGTGCTGAAAAGCACACATGCGCAAACATTTTTCTTAATGTTAATGTTACTAATGTGTTTGTTTTTTTTTGTTTTTTTGTTTTTTTTTTGTTTTTTTTGTTTTTTTGTATTTGAAGCTTCTTCTAAAGAAAAGAGCATAACTCCAAAACAAACTTCGAGGCACCCACCACGTCGTAGCTCTCGCCTCTCACCTCAAATAGAAAACAATCAGGATAATCGAAAGCATTTAACCACATCTAGTAACATTAAGCATGTTCTTAAACCCAGTATCACACATTCTGGAAATATTCGATTTGCTAGTCATTCCAAGAACTTTAAAATGCCAGTCAGCAAGAGCCACACAGGTTCAAGAATACAGCTTGAATCCAAACAAACAGCAATTATCAAGACTCACAAGATGTGCTGTCCGGTTAAACATTCTCAACTAGAAATTTGTTCTGCATGTATGAGCAGGTAAGTCGAAAAGGAACACAGGTTTATAGACCTTTAGCACGGGGTTATCGTTTTCCCATTTCAGAATGTGTGTCATTTCCTAGAGTGTCATTACTTTTTTAAACGTTGCACAACTCAAATAAAAGAATCAAATTCTCTAGAGAGTAATAAATGATCTGAAATGAAAAAAACTTTATGTCCAAGCTAAAGAGATATATTGGGTGGGATTCATTCAACTGTGTTAATAAAGTGGATGACAGTGCGCATTGTCGTCGCAATAAGACAAGTTGCTGGAGAATTGCCCAGTTTAACAGGGGATGCAGTCTCAAAATGTTTTGTTGCACGTAGCGTTAGTAGATATGAAATGACAGTTCTGCGCCAGGTGGATCGTGAATCAGGGTGGATCGTGGATCAACCCTKGTAATGAGAGTTCTACGCCAGGTGCCACCCGTGCGAACCGGTGTTCTCCTCCAGACCCTACTCCGGGGCCGTAATAACGGTGACGTCATAGCTATTCTATAGGTGAGGTGAAAATAGCTATAACTAAACTTATTTTGTACTCACATGCATTGAGCATTTTATGAATAAATGTTAATTTTTGTTTTTGAAAAACGTGTTCGTCGTTGTTCCTTGGGCAAGTCATCTTATTTGTTTTTTGATGAGTCAACTTCGTAGAACTCAATCAGGGTGAAACAAAAGCATAAAGTAAAAAGAGTCTATACCGTTAACAATAGGCTTTGAGACAAAAACTAATTCTTATGAATAATTAGAAACTTTTATTAGGATTAAACTTTGACGTAAAATTTCAAAAATAGATCTTCCCAACTGCGTTGGTATGGTGCAATCCAGCAAACTAAAAAAATAGATATGGCTGACCACCCCTCCCCCTACGGAACCTCACGGCACCTCACCTATAGAATAGCTATGACGTCACCGTTATTAAGGGCCCGGAGTAGGGTCTGGAGGAGAGCGCCGGTTCGCACGGGTGGCACCTGGCGTAGAACTCTCATTGCAAGGGTTGATCCACCCTGATCCACGATCCACCCTGATCCACGATCCACCTGGCGCAGAACTGTCATTTCATATCTACTAACGTTGCACAAAGTAGAACTCAGTTCATGGCATTGCACAGTGTAATACCCCTCCAGCAACTTTTCTCGCAATTTTAGGGCATATTTTCAAAGAGGGTATGCGTACAGACAATACCGGCATCTTAAATGTTGCGCCAAATTTAATTACGTGTTCTCCCAGGTCCATCCCAACGAAAATGGCTTGCAAGTTATAGATGCAGACACCTCATCTCGTTAACCTGCAACCTTACTTTTTTAAGCACTAAGATAAGTGGCTGAGATAATTGCAAGTTAAGACAGGGGCTTAAGGGTTTGATTTAAATTTCCTATTGTATACTTGCAGAGGCCACCAGAATGCACCGAGAGCTGGTACTCCGGGTTTTCGTTCACCTGAAGTTCTTTTAAAGTGTCCAAAGCAAACCACTGCTGTAGATATCTGGTCTGGTGGTATTATTATGCTCTGTCTTCTCAGTGGCAGGTATCCTTTCTTTAGAGCCCATGATGATATGACGGCTTTGGCTCAGATTATTAGTGTCATTGGAAGCTCTGAATGTATCAAGAGTGCAAATGATATAGGTAAGCTATTTTTTAGGAATTTGTATGTAATTCTGGGAGATTGCATTACAGTACTTCATAGGTCCTTATGGTCGTTGCACACCAGGGGTCATTTAACAGTAAAACATGTATAGCAGCGATAAAATCACGTTCTGTACATACGAGTGGACGTTTAGCGGTGATATGTAGCAGAGACATGTAGCAGCAGCTTGCAACATGTGTACATTTAGGAAAATGAATAAGGTACGCAAGCGTAGATCGATCTAAAAAAGTTCAAGCTACAAGCGAACCGACTCCAGAAATCGAAAGAGAATGTCTTATTTAGTAACTACTGAAGATTTAAGAGTAATATCTTCAATATTTTGGGAGTAAAATTTTGTTGAAAGCGGTATGATTCACAAAGAAATGTATGGTCGTGTGGCAAGGCTACCCTTGCTAGTCTCGCTACCCTTGTTACTCTCGCTACCCTTGCTACTCTCGCTACCCTTGCTAATCTCGCTACCCTTGCATGAAGCAGCAACAAAATCACCAGAAATTCTTTTGTTTAAGAATCATACAAGTGAGGCTATTGGGCCGATACAATGCTTATTATTTCATTTGCATCTCATTTGAATGTATCCATAATAACTACTATTGAAACGTACGCAGGGGTACGCGTATGCTTTCATGTTGTCGCTGGCATGTGTTGGGACACGTCAACGTTATATTTTTTCTGAGTGCGTAAACACTTATTTCGATAAAGTTAGTCACCAAAAACCTAGAAAGCTGAGATCACTGAGCATCATGGGAAACTTCATATCAAAAAAGCATATATATACAAAGCTTTTTTAATACAAACTGCAGCTCGATGATGCTCAGAAGAGGTGACTGTAACCGGTAAAATATTCGGAAGTCTATGAACAGTTATCAAGCGGTTGAACGTGTAAAATGAATCTACCCATAATTCTTGTCGGCCTCAGCTTTATAGCTTTTCAGGTGACTAACTTTATTGAAATAAGTGTATATCTCTGCTACACGTCCACTCGTATGTACAAAACATGATTTTGTCGCTGCTACATGATTCTGCTAAATAAACCCTAGTGTGCAACGACTAATGCGTGGATTCAAGTTGTTATCATTCTAGTCTGCTAAACCTTGATTGTTACTAATACATGTGCGCCTTGCACGAAGTCCCAAACTTGGGGCCTAAGTAAAGGTATTCCATTTTTGAGAATTCAATTTATAAATTTTTGTATTTTTAATTGTTTCGTTACAAAGGATTTGGGACTTGCGCAAAACTCGTATCTGTCATAAGAACCGTAATCCACTTTACATTTTCCTGCACATATTTCATGGGTAACGCGAGTTTGCGACAGGTTTGCACCGACGACGACGGTAATTAAAACGAACTGTGGAGCAAATTATATAGAGATATAAAGTACATATTAGTAGTAAATTTAAAACACGCTTCTGAGAACTAAGACTTTTTTTTTTTTGTCTTTCCCTTTTCATACTAACAAATTTGTAATTTTTTTCAGGAAAAGACTTAATTCTCAATGCAAAGTTTCCTCAGGGAGACCTTAAAGCTGCTTGTCAACGTCTACGCTCAGGATCATGCAAGGGTYCTACTTCAGGATGTATTGCATCGGATCCTTCTGACGGGCATGATTCTGCATCAAAAAGAGCAAGAAGGAAAAGCCCAACGTCCAAAAAAAATCAGTCAAAAGACTCTAAACCGCACCAACGGTGTTCATTCTGTAGAGAAGCTGCAAATCCCGACTCTATTGTACATCATTGTCCAAATTCTAAATGGATAAAAGAAGGCAAAGATCATGAACACTTAGACGGCACCAAATGTAGCAGTGATTGTTGTAAATGTTGTTGGACTATTCCCAGTTCAGCTTACGATCTACTACAAAGATGTTTGGATTTAAATCCCCAGACAAGAATAACAGCTTCCCAGGCGCTCCAACACCCGTTTTTCACAGAACAAAACTAGCTAAAAGATCCATAAAGTTATATGAATTATATATAGTTCAGAAAATGAAAAATGAAAGCGTGAAAAGAATAACTATAATTGTATATATTCTCGTAAATTGTGAATAATAATAAATGTATTTTCTTCTAGTTTGTAGTCAATATAATGATAACTTCTTTTAATTGTTGTCCCRAAAAAGTAACATGAATACTACCCTTGCAGAAGTAGAGAAATGTAACTTGTGGAGGTAACTCGCGAAGGTTGCCTGACGTTCGTACTGCTCGTTGAATTTTCATGAAAACTTCTGGAATTAGTCTTGGTTTGCGATCATTTCCAAGGGAGTTAAATATTAAGAGCCGTGATTGCCATGTTGGAGATATAACAAAAGAACTAAATGAAAAATATTTTCACAAATTCTTCCAACATAGAGGCTATTACGTCGTGCAAACGATAACAAAAAAATAGGCCCTTGGCAATATTTCCAGATGGTACTTAAAAATTCTCTTTCACTCACCATCTTTTTTAAGGCTGTGTCCCTAAGAATCACCAGACCAAATTGCATGGGGTCTCAGATCTCTTTCAAACTTTATGTACAGAAAGCCTTTCCTACTGGTAGTATCAAAATGCAATTTATTTTGAATGTCGTCACAAATTCGCTAAGTTCAAGGGGGGGTCAAGTTTCGGGCAAAAATTAAGTTTTTGGACACCTGGTAACGTAATTTGAATGAAATTTGAGGCTTTGTATCTCTTTTAAAAATGCACACAAAATTAAATCCTTTTACATGCTGGTAGATACACATCTGAGGAATAACCTGACATATTAAAAGCTTCAAGAAGAAGTATTTTATTTGGAGAAAATKTACGCTACTTTTGCACTATATTTGACATTTCGTGACTTGCAAAATTATAACAAAAGATAAAAATTCAAATCTCAAAAGTGTAAATCTAGTATTTTTATCGTGATACAAGTAAACATTGATCTTTCATAAAATGTAAAAACCTTTTTCGGCCAGCATGTTTTAGGCATATTGTGACTCCGCCAAATCTCAGCATTTTCCGAGTTGTCAAATTGAAAATGAAAATCGAATGTTGTTACGGGTCCGTGTAACACTCCACAAAGAGCTTTTCAATTTAGTTGGCGTGAATTGGACATATGAAATTTGCCTGATTTTTGAATTTTCATTTTTTATGATCATGTCAAAATTCGAATATTATCTCATCAATGTCAATTTTCAATTTTCGAATTCAAAAATTAAAATAAATTTTTGAAATGACTTTTCGAAAATTTGATTTTGTACTCTGAAAACGAACTTTGGAAAAATATCCTGTAGACAGGGGGAGGTGAAGATTAGGCGGACTGAGGGTAGGTGGTTCCACTAACAACGACAATAATAAAAAAAACCATAGAGGGAGGGGAGGCACCAAGGAGGGTGTTATAACAACATGTAAAGCTTGAGAGAAAACCATGGAAGAATTTTCGACCAATTTGTACGATGATGAAAGCGGAAGGTCAGGGTTTTGAGATCCTTTTGGGGTGATAGTACACCCCCCCCCCCCTTCCCCCCCGGGATGACCCTCCCCTATAAGCAGCCAATTTTTTCTTGTCCCTCCCTTTTAGGGCCTTAAAAAGTTATGACCTTCCCCATGTTTCCACCCCCCTCCCCGCTGCTAATTTCTGACAAGTCACTAAGTTCATATTCAGTCAGTCCCAGGGCTGTCAACTCTCCCGGATAAGCCGGGAGTCCAGATTTTGGACCGTATCTCCCGGTCTCCAGATTAGAGTCTCAAATCTCCCGGATAATCGCCGAAGCTGATCATATCTAGACTCGACTTTCACAACCATAAAATTCCAATTATTTTGTGTTGTTTGTGTTATTTTACATTGCTAACAAAATCAAAACATTCCTCATAAACTGTTCTCGCAAGCAGGCCATTGTAATATAAGCGATAATCTGATTGGTCAAAAATAAACCAATCAGATCAAATGTTACAAAGTGAATGACGTCTTTTTCGCGCGCTTTTTTCCGCTGTGACGTCATGTCCCTACCCTATCAATTCTCCAGATTTGAATACCTTGGGGGTTGACAGCCCTGCAATCCTTCCCGAGAGAGGTGATATGTAGAAGATGTCGTTTTATATCATCAGCACATTCAGTCAATCTATCTAAATGGGACGAACCTCGCGATTCGCCGCACTTTTTATCAACAATAAAGCACACTCTCATTGCTTCACTTTGCAATTGAAGCAATTTCCAAACATGTGCATTTGACAGCTCATTTGTTTTGCAGGTCAGCGGCCTCATTTCTAAGACTACCGTGAAACAAAGCCAACTCTGAATAATGTTGGTGTTAACATACCGCTTTTTTTTCGCTCGAACACAACAATTATGCTGAAAGAATCATACCTAACTACAAACTAATCTTTGGGACAATCGTTGGTAGAGGAATTGATCATGAAGACTTGTCATGTTGATTGCTTGTAGAATCACGTTGTTTTCCCGATCGTGCAAAGGTGATGTGAATAAGGTCAATCGAAGGTCTGTTCAATTTGTTGTATTTAAGAGGGGCTCTCCCTAAGGATCGCCTATACCTATGCAAGATAGAAAAATCGAAAATTTTCAAACTCTGCCCAATTAAAGGTCTTTGGTAGCTAGTTCTAGAAATATAGTTCTCAGTTGGTTCAGATCATTATTTTTTATTTGAGAATTTTTTTTGTATTTTGAGCCCCAAACGCCCGGGAGAACGACTTTAAATGAAGGGATATTTCGACAGCTCGCATAAAAATACATATTCATCATTCATAAAACTAAAGCCACAGCACCAAAGAACTGTCTTTTGCCTACCATTTGCATTTTTCAGATTTAAAATTGGTTAAACCCAAAATATTTCCCAGATTTTTCATAATAACCTGTGTTAGCGGTATTTCGTCACGCGAAAATATAGGCAGGATTCAGAAGTCAAAAATGCTCCTTGGTACATGGCTTTGCCATGAAATTTTGCCCTCTAAAGATCAGTCATCACCTCTTCTTTGATTTTCTAAAATAAAATTTTTGGGTAAATAAAATGAGGAATTTTGCGAGACCCAAATGTGTAAGGCATTTGTAGCAAAATACATGCCCTCTTGACCCCGGCTTGTGTAACGTCAGTCGTCAAGAACTGTCCTATATTTTGATTTAGATGGGTGAATCTTTCGGTAATCGTTAACTCACGGTCTATCAAGACAGATAAAAGCGTAAACGTTTATAAACTTGAACAATGGTACGGTTTTATTGACAGTCTAAAGGTTTTGGACGTTTGTATTGCAAGAATATATTGTCGTTGTCGAATTCACATTACCACAAACCTGAACTTTTCTTGGGATGGAGCATGTAGTTTCGGTTAGCTTTGCTAAATGCACAGGTACTTAATAAACTAGGATGTTCATTGTCTTAAAAGTTTTAAAATTTACTAACCTCATAGCTCCTATGAAACCCAAATCATGTCACTATCCCAATCAGATAAACCGATCTTCGTAAACAATCGTCACTAAATCGAGCCGACACAGGCAACCCAACCTATGTCGAGGAAGACCTTTCTTTACGCGAAATAGCCCCTTTTCGAGTTGTCACGATACCGCTGGGACGCCTTGCATTGCGGGCGCATTTAAGAGTCAATGTCTGTAACGGTCGAGAACCATCGGACAGTTGAGAAAAATCGAAATTGCTCATACTTTGCCTAAATAACCTCCCTGGTAAGACATTTTCAAAAATATAACTTTAAGTGCTGGGCGCCTTTTATTTTTTGAGAAATCGTCAAAAGTTGATTTTTGAGCCGAAACGGGCTTGGGCACCCTGTGTCGGATARGAAAAATCGAAGTTTTCTCGGCGTTCGCACGGCT